TATCTTAGTGTTGGAACGTGACACTCCGATCCTTATTCTATCCTGGTACTGGAACGTGGCACCCGATCCATATACTATCCTGGTGTCGGAACGTGACACTCCGATCCTCATTCTATCCTGGTACCGGAAAGTGGCACCCGATCCTCTATTTCTATCCTGGTACCGGAACGTGGCACCCGATACCCTAATCTCACTACTTTCGTTCATCAAGCCTTCTTTCATACCAAGACATCATCATTAACAAAGTAGATTAGGGTTATCTTTCAAGATTTAGGATTCAATAGCTTCATCATGCTTATTTTATCACAATTATATAATCACATTCATGCAAACATACAATTAAGCATATAGAAGGGTTTACAATACTACCAATACATATCATTCGCTATTAAGAGTTTACTACGAATAGCATAAAAACCATAACCTACCTCCACTGAAGATTCGTGATCAAGCAAGCAATTTCCCAAAGCTTTGTGTTTTTCCTCTTCGTTTCTCCTCTCTCGATCGTTTCTCTCTCCCTCTCTTTGTTCTTTCTATTTTTTCTTATTCAAACCCTCTTTCTTTTACCCTAATTAACATATAATTAAGTATAAAAGATGGCAATAATACCCCACTAGTTAAATCAAGGTTACCTCTTTTAACCCCCAAGTAATTAGAATTATTAACATTAACCCACTAACTTTATAATTAAAGCAGGAATGGTCCAAAACGCCCCTTAAATTACTTAACAGAAATCCGACCCAACCTGGGATTACGCAGCCTGTGACGGCCCGTCGTGCCTGCGACGGTCCGTCCTGCAGGTCCGTCACAAAGTTCAGAAACTCAATTTCCTTGAAGAGTCTGTGACGGTCCGTCGTGCCCACGACGGTCCGTCCTGCCATTTCGTTACGAATTTCAGAGAGTCGATTTCAGTACCCAAATTTCAGAATTCTAAGTGTTTTGGAACGAGACCCCCTCGACGGTCCGTCGTGCCCATGACGGTCCGTCGCGGGGTCCGTCGTCTCAGCCAGTTTTTCCAGAAATAAAATCTGCTGCTCAAAACGACTAAACAGGTCGTTACATAAATACCTACCAATTCAGTGCAATGAGGATCACTAATGATTGATGCAAATCATCCTCTGTATCTTCAAGTATGTGATACTCCAGGTAGGACGCTAGTTTCTATTCAACTTACTGGTTCTGAAAATTATTCAATGTGGAGTAGATCTATGAAAATAGGTTTATTAGGAAAAGGAAAATTAAAATTTGTTGATGGAAGATATCCTAAAAGTTTGTTTCCAACTCCACTGCATGATCTCTGGGAGAATTGTAATGCCATAGTTCTCTCTTGGATTATGATCTTTATTATTAGTAGGGAGTTACTTAGTGGTATAGTTTATGCCAGTAGTGCTCATCAAGTGTGGAATGATCTTAAAGAGAGATTTGATAAGTTGATGGATCTAGAATTTTTTTTTCTTCATAAGGAAATTGCCAGATTCACTCAAGGAGTTTCATCAGTAGCTCACTATTTTTTTAAGCTGAAGGAACCATGCACGGAATTTGATTCTCTTATGTCATGTCCTAGTTGTGCTTGTGAAGTTTCTGAAACTTATTCTATCATTTTGAGTATCAAAGGTTAATGTCGTTTCTGCTTGGGTTAAATGAAACCTATAATCAATGTAGAAGTCAGTTAATGATGATGGATCCTTGTCCAAGTGTGAATAAGGCGTATTCCTTGGTAATGGCTGAAGAGTGTTAAAAAGCTCTTGGAAAGGCCAATATTGTTAGTACTGAGACTGCAAATTCTGGACAACTATCAGATTCGATGGCATTTTTTTTAGCTCTGTGAGAAAATCCTGCTTATTCTGGTTTAAGTTCTTCTTCTAATTCAGGATCTAACTTCAGAACTCAGAGAAAATCTAATAGCAATTTGTTTTGTGATTATTACAATTGGAAATGTCATACGAGAGCTAATTGTTTTCGACTACATGGTTATCCAGCTAATTGGAAATGTAAGAGAAGAACTAGTCCAGGACCTGTCACTGCTGCTAATTTTGTGACAGGATCTTCTCCTCATAATATAAATGGTCATTTAGATGGTTCACAGGGATCAATGGATGACGGTTCAAGTTCTTCATCTCGATCAATGTTTGAGGGTTAGAGAGTTTCTTCAAGCTATCCAATAGGAAGATCTCAACTAGTCTAGTTCTCTATTATCAGGTGGTGGTAACTCTTATCCTAATCATGCACTTATGTCTAATGTGCAGCCATATTACTATCCATCTTCACAGTGGTTTCCTCATTCTCATTATATGCAATAGTATCAATTCTCTGATCAGGAGCATGGCAGTTCTAAAAATGTCAATATGCATGTCACACGTATTCCCTAAATGGATTATAGATTTCGGAGCTTTTAGGCATTTGGTTAATGATTCCAAATTGCTTACCACATACAAGTCACTACCTAGTGGTCAAGTAGGGAATGCTTATTTTCCAACTGGAAAACTAGCTATTTGTTACCAATATTGGCTCGTCTCAGGTTCTTAAGGGGACTGACATTCATAATGTTCTACATATCCCAGAGTTTAAGTACAATTTTTTATCTGTCCCTAAGCTCATTAGGGAGTTGAATTGTGGTGTCTTCTTTTATCATGATTTTTACTTATTCCAGGACCTCTCCAGTGGGAAGGTGAGAGGGATTGGCAAGTTGGAGAATAACATGTATGTTCTTCTAGTTGATCATCAGTTGAAGTCACAAGGAACCTTACTATACTCTTCTATTGCAAATGTAGTGTGTTTCTAAGTCTGCTTCTTTCATAAATACAGATAGTGTGTTTCTAAGTCTGCTTTTTTCATAAATACAGATAGTAACAACCTATCTCTATGGCATAGAAGGCTTGGCCATGTATCGTTTCATACTCTTAGAAAACTTGGTTGTTTCAACAATGCATCTACTACTTTTGCAGTTCCTTGTATTATGTGTCCATTGGCTAAACAATCAAGACTTCCTTTTCCATTAAGTACTACTACACTTCTACTTGTTTTCATACTCTGCATGCTGATGTATGGGGTCCCTATAGAGTTCCTACTCATGATGGGAAGAGATATTTTTTAAGCATTGTTGATGATTTCTCTGAATATACCTGGCTGATATTAATTACTTCCAAGTCTGATGTTATTGTGGCTCTTAGAAATTTCTTTACTATGATAAAGAATGTGTTCTCTGCAACTGTGAAGATATTGCGAACAGGCAATGGTTGTGAGTTTTTTAATTCACAAATGACTAAACTGCTTCAATCCTTAGGGATTCTTCAGCAGAGTTCCTGTGTTTATAGTCCACAGCAAAATGGAGTAGTTGAAAGAAAGCACAGACATATATTGGATAGAGTTAGAGCATTAAGGTTTCAAGACAACCTTCCACTTAAGTTCAGGGGTGAATGTGTGCTTACTAGTGTGTATCTTATTAACAAACTTCCATCTACTATACTCAAGGGCAAAACTCCTTTTGGTATCTTATTTCATACTAGTCCATCTCTTGATCATTTGAAGGTATTTGGTTGTTTGGCTTTTGCAAAGGAAGATAAAAAAAAGTGGATAAATTTGCTGTCAGAGTTATTCCATCTATCTTTATTGGTTATGCTTCTCTTCAGAAGGGGTACAAGTTGTTTTCTATGCACACTAAGGAGTTTATGATTAGTAGGGACGTTGCGTTTCATGATCATATTTTTCCTTTTCAGCATATGGATCATAATGTGTCATCTATTTTTTCAGTTCTTCATTTATTAGAGGTGTGTGATACTTCTCCCCCTCTTGTAGTGTCTGTGGATTCATTTGCTAGTGATTTTGATCATGTTTTGCCTCACATGCCCATTATGGAGTCTGCTTCTTCTAATACTACTTCTCAGACTCCAACTCTTAGGAGATCCTCCAGGACCAGCAGACCATCCATATGGTTGCAAGATTTCCATACTACCAGTCTAAGTTTGGTTGTTTGTATCCTATGTCTAATCATGTCTCTTATGACAAGCTTTCCAAGTCTTATGGTCAAGCATTTGCTACTTATTCCAGCATTGTTGAGCCTGTTTCTTTTGATGAGGCTGCTAGTAATCCACTATGGGTGGAGGCCATGAAGTTTGAAATATCAGCACTTAGAGTATAATTAGACTTGGAGCATTGTTGATCTTCCTCAGGGTAAACATCCCATTGGCTGCAAATGGGTGTTTAAAGTCAACTATTTAGCTTCTCGAGCTGTTGAGAGATATAAATCTAGGCTAGTGGTCAAGGGTTTCAGTCAAAAAGAAGGTTTAGATTACTCTGAGACATTCTCTCCTGTGGCTAAAATGGTTATAGTAAGATCAGTTGTGGCAATTGATGTTGGTATGGATTGGCCTACTTTTTTCAAATGGATGTTCATAATGCATTTTTGCAGTGGGGATTTGCCTGAGGAAGTGTATATGGTTATTCCTCCTGGTTTTGGCAGGCAGGAGGGGTCTAGTAAAGTCTGCAAGCTTCATAAATCATTATATGGATTGAAGCAAGCACCTAGACAGTGGAATCGTAAATTGATAGCAGCTTTGGTTCAGTTAGGCTTTGTTCAATGTCATTATGATCACTCCATTTTCATCAGGTATATAGATAAGGAATTGATAGTGGTTCTACTATATGTTAATGATCTTTTGATAACTAGTAATTGCAAGAATTTAATAGATCAGACCAGAAATGTTTTGAAACTCAAATTCAAGATGAAGGATTTGGGAGAATTAAAGTTCTTTCTTGGGATTGAATTTGCTAGGTCTGAGGAGGGGTATGGAATGAGTCAATGCAAGTATGCCTTAGAACTAATTTATGAAATGGGGTTAAGTGGAGCCAAGCCACTCAACACACCACTGGATCCTAATGTGAAACTAATATCTATTGAGTTTGACTCACATATGCAGAAATCAAAAACTACAATATAAGACAAACCTTTAGAAAATGTGGGGAGATATCAAAGATTAGTGGGGAGACTGTTATATTTAACTATGACTAGAGTGAATATTTCGGTTGCTGTACAAACATTTAGTCAGTTTATGCATGCTCCTAAGCAATCTCACATGGAGGCTGCTCTAAGAGTAGTCAGGTACATCAAGTCAGCTCTAGGCTTATGATTGTTTATGCCTGCTCAAAGCACGGGAACTTTAACTACTTACTGTGATTCTGATTGGGGAACTTGTGTACAAACAAGAAGGTCTATCACAGGCTATTTGGAGAAGTTTGAGAGGAACTCATCACCTAGAAATAGGGGTGGGCGTTCGGTTCTTCGGTTTGGTTTAATCAAATTTCGGTTCGATTCTTCGATATTCGGTTTTAGAAAAGTGTGCACCATAGTTTATACCAAAGTAGATCATTTGGTTCGATTTTTTCTAATTCGATTCGATTTAGTTCGATGTTTTTAGATCATTTTTTTGGTGTGTAAAAATAAAAAGGGAATATGATAAAGTGTTAAGAAGTTCATCATGTATTTAATAAATATAAAGAGGGGATAGATGATGTTTTAGCAAATATACCAAAGGATTTGTTTCTATTTCTTAGCATATATAGTTGTCATTTTGCTAAAGCTAGGCTTTCTCCCATACCGACATGCTGAATGAATAAAGAAGAGAGCAAGCTGCCTACAAGCACGATGCCACGATGAACTTTCAAACAACCAAGCTATAAGGACTCAAAATGTACAATTGTACATAAACAAGAATAGTTCAACACTTTATTGACATTATTATTTGTGTCATTTAAAAATTGAAAATTTAAATGGGTCATATAAATATTTTGATTCAAAATTCAAAAGTGTATAAGTATTATTAATTAAACAATATAATTTAAATATTTTTAAATTTAGTAAATAAAACTTCGGTTTTTTGGTGCACCGTAATTTCGGGACCCTTGCACCGAACTCCGAACCGAAGAATCGAAGTTTCGAAAAAAGAAAACCGACACCGAACCAAAACACCGAAGAACCGAAATTGAAGAGCTGAAATTTTTCGGTTCGGTTCAATTTTTTGATATTTCGGTATTTATACTCACCCCTACCTAGAAATCTGAAAAACAAGACACAGTTGCTAGAAGTTCAGCTCAAGCTGAGTTCAAGAGTATGGCTTCTACTGTGGCAGGAATAACTTGACTTATTGGCATTTACAAGAAGTTGGGAATCAATATTAAGCAACCAGTGGATTTGTTCTGTGATAGCAAGGCTGCTATACACATTGCAGCCAATTCTATTTTTCATGAAAGAACTAAGAACTTTGATATTAACTGCTATTTTGATCAAGACTCATCATGTGTCTACCAAAGATCAACTAGCAGACTTATTTACAAAAGGCTTATGGAAAGCTTCGCATGAATATTTAATGTCCAAGCTAGGCTTAAAAAACATATTTCAGCCTTTAGCTTGAGGAGGGGTGTTGAATATAGTAGCGGTTATTAAAAATTAGTTACAAGATAAATAATAATGTCACAAAGTTAGTTAGAAAGTTGTTATGAATCAACTATAGTTAAGTTAGAATTAACTAGAGTAGTTAGTGAGAGTCACACTATAAATATGTTTGTATGTACAATCTGTAAAGCTAATCATTCATTTTAGTATACTGAAATTTCTTCTTCTTCTCTCCATTGAATAGCTTTCAGTTTACTCTTCACTTTCGTCTTCTAAAAATTTAAGCCCAATATTGATAAAAAAAAATATCACCGATTAGCTCAAAGTTTCTTCAGAAGTTTCCAAATGTTGCCAACAAATTCCAAATGAAACTCCAACAATTAATTTATCCAAAAAAAAAATAATCAATAAATCACAAAATTCACTTGTGACTTTTCAAGCTTTTGGAAAACCCCAATAATAGAGCTTTTAGATTTTTCACTTTCACCTAATAATGTTTAAATTTTTTATGATGAATACGATGAGCATCACTCTGAATTAGATTTCAAGCATTAAAAAAAAGGAAATCATAAACACATATTAAGATGTAGTCTTTTTCCCAAGTGTTTCTAATTATATATAAAATAGATTAAGTAGGATAAGATCCAAGAATATGATCAACTAATTTTAGTTACAAGCTTGCATTAAATGATATCTTACGTTAGAGCCTTAGAGGTGATCAACTTATGACTTATAAATGTCGTAAATAAGTTTAAATTTGCTTATAATATAGTTTGATTAGTTTACAAGTTTACTCAAACACACAATCAACCCTCCCATCACCCCATGGCATGTACTCAAGAGTGACAATTAAAATAAGATAATTTTTACTCTTAATCAAGTTATGACCCACATCTGGCCACAAATAATGTGGTTTAATAAATGAATGAATAATATAAAGTATTAAAACAAGTTCCTTCGTATTCCTAAATCATCCAGCTATGCTTCTTATAAAATCAAAATTTGATCTTACATATAAAATATAATTTTTTGATAAAAAAGATTTAAGTGAATTATCTGATCCGCACGTAGCTTTGTCCCTTACACGTATCAGAGTAATTGATTAATAAAATTTCATGTTAGATTATTTATGCATATATACAATCTATTATTGTAAAATAAATGCTGATATTTATAGTTACACATATTATAATATATATGTTTATAAATACAAATTATATAATTCTTTTTAATATTTTTACCTGATTAACCTAAATTACTTAAATTAAAAGGGAGTAGCTCTTTTGCTTGATTAGTAAAGCAACCACACTTGATTCCTTGTGTTTGAGTGTAACTTTTGAAAAAGATGGTTTGAGATTGGCTAAACGTATGGGATTTTACTTTATAATTACATTTTTTGTTCATATATATACATACAGACAATTATTCTAAGCACAGATAAAAACATGTCATACTCTCTTTGGACCATCTCTAGTCCATCTCTATTTTATTTTCTAATTCTCTGTATTTGAATAGTAAAATAGAGAATGCCCTCTTCAATTCTTTTTCATATTGCTCTCTATGCTCTATTTATATAGAGGTGAATAGTAGTGGAGAACTACTATTCAAACTTTCTATTTTACTTTTTTAATATTTTTTATTATTATTTTTGTTACTTTTCAATTAACATATTATTTTACATATAATTTTATTAATTAAATATATAATATATATTCATGGTTCTTTTTAAATGTAATATACTATTTGAAAAAATATATTATCTAATATATATTAATTTAATTTCAGTTAATATATTTTTAATAATTTTCAGTAATAATAAAATTTTATTTTATTAGTAATTTTCCTTATAAAGAATACACAAAATTAAAATGGTAAGATGAAAATTTTAATTTAAATTCAAATGACAATATAATACATAACATAATAATTTAAATACAAGATAAAATACAATACATAACATAATAATTAATACGGGATGAAACAAGAATCATGTCGAAAAGATGTGGAACGTGTATTCGGAGTTTTGCAATTATTGCAAGACCTCGCATTTTTGGAGAAAAATGTGCAACATGTATTATACTACACAACGTGATAATTGAGGACGTGATCTTAATGCACCGATTCAAGATGTCGTAGAGGCTCCAACTGCAACGACAAAAATGGTGATAGATGAAAATATCCGATTTGAACAATTTTTAGCTATACATAATAAAATCAAGGACAAAAATGCTCATTTTGAACTCCGTAATGCATTAATAGAGCATTTATAGGAGCAACGTAATAATTTCAAAAATTGAGTGTTTATGTAATGTTTATGTAATCATATTCTACATTTATTCGAATTTGTTCATTAATTGATGTATTTTATAATATTTTTGTGCAACTTATGATATTTAAAAATTTAGAATAAAATATAATTCATATTAAATAAAGTTTGAAAAATAAATTTTTTATCACATATGAGAATTATATAAAGTAATCACTGGGGAAAAGAAATAAATGATCTATATGAAATAAGAAAATAAGAATGAAATAGAAATAATAATATAATATTAAAGAGAGAAAAATTCTTTTTAGAGAGTAGAATAGAGAATTGGGTGTTAGGTATTATCTTTTGTAAAAATTTAAGGAATCCCATAGTGTAATTTAATAATTACACTCTGTACCGACAAATTTAGTATTTACTAAAAATCCCTTAAAATTTTTGTGCCGTGATACTTTAGACTCTAGTGATACATGGTAAATGATACATGGTAAATTTAAACTGTTAAGAAAAAAATGGGGGGAAAACAGTACATTTAAACTTGTTAACTAAAATAGCTTAATTTACGGTAACGGATCATTAATCAACATTAAATTAGCACGTAATTGAATATTAATTTCAAATTTTGAAAATCAAAGATTATATCATCTATTTTGAATACAATTTTCAAAACCGCATGATACATAGAAAACATTATGATACACAACAAATTCATGTATCAATGCATCGTCTAAAACACTATACACACTGATTCAAAACGTATCAGCAAGCACACTTGATGGATTCAAAATGTATCAATGCATCATCTAAAACACTATACACACTTGATGGATTCAAAATATATCAGCAAGCACACTGATTCAAAATGTATCAGCAAACACTTCATGTATCAATGCATCGTCTAAAACACTATACACACGATTCAAAATGTATCAACAAGCACACTTGATGGCGCAATTATTGAAATTAATCACTGATACATGATAAAAAAAATTCAAAAACCCTTGATACACATCTAATTCATGTATCAAATCATAGACTAAACATTATAATCCACTTAGTACTTATGTATTAAACCTATTATCTGATACATGATAATAATTTTCATAATTTTTTGATACATATTGGATTCCTTAATTTTTTTTTTCTTATTTCAACAACAATTTTAAAATAAGTATAAAAATACAAACCCAAAACAATGTAAGCCTGACAACAATGTTTGCTGCTTCTTTTTTCTTTTTTTTTTTGTTGTATTTTGACAACCTTTGATTTTGATGTTTCGCCAGAGTCTTTGTTTGAATCCTTCTGAAGATTCATATGATCATGCAAAGACTTTTTTCTATTTTCTTTCCAATTTTCATCGTCGGAATCATATATCCTTCTATTAATTAACGGATCCATTACTATGATGTAATAGAACAATTAACCAAAACAAAAAAAGGAAGAAAAGAAGAACTGATGATGGAATAATAAGAAAAAAAAGAAATCAATAACAGATGCTGGGTTAAGAAGAAGAAAGACGATGATGCAGTAAGAAGAATTGAAGACGTGATGGAGTAAGAAGAACAATAAGAACGGGAGAGAAACCAAACTTTTATGATTTTTATTTTAAAAAATAAAAATAATATATATGGAATACTATAGAAAGAGAAAAATATAATATCCGTATATTGAGAAACCAAACTTTTATGATTTTTATTTTAAAAAATAAAAATAATATATATGGAATACTATAGAAAGAGAAAAATATAGTAGAATCATCTTAATTTCATAAGATGGACAAGTAAATTGAAGCAACTACTTTAGTTGAGCAACTCTCATATATAACAAACACAAAAATTTTATTTGTATTATATAACTATAATTTGAATAATTGTACTTAATCAAACATAAATACGTATATTTCGATATACATATACAAAAAAAATAGTTGTATATATATTATTTTTGTTTCGATATACATATAAAAAAGATCAATCGTATAATTTGTGTTTGTTTAAAACAAGAAAGAGAGAAAACACAAAAGAAAATTGAGTAGGAGAATATTTATATTGTATAATTATAAATGTATATGACAAAGATATATGTATTTGCATGTGTTTCTATAATTTTCTCCCTTTTTATACAAACAGAAATGCGATTCTACATTTCTTTTATGTTTCTATAAGCGAGAGAGACGAGCAAAATCTGGGAGAGTGGCGAGTTAAATCTGGGAGAGAAGAACGAAAATATTGTATATATACAGTTTTCTCTCGTTTTATACAAATACAAACACATTTTATACATTTGCATTGTATAAAAGTTGAGAGAGATGAGGGAAAAATAAAAGTGGCGAGCTAGGAGAGAGGTGAAACAGTAACAGTAACAGTTTGTTATGGGGTACAATTAAATCAAATTATGGTTATAACTTATAACATTTAATTTGAATTAATAGTTTGCTATTATATACAATTTTCTCATTTTAGTATGAATCAGCCCAAGAAAT